CGGCACAACCTAGCCGGCAGGATGGTTTTTAAAGGTTCAAAATGTGCAAGAGTGAGCCGGTGAATTGACAATGCGAAACTATTCGAAATCGTGACATTGGAAGGAATTGCCATTCGCGGTAGAAAAAAACAGGAAAGGTGCTTAGGAAAATGGTGGGAAATTCTTTGGTTGAATAATTTTCATCAGTTCTCTACAATAAACATTTCCTGACCGAGAAAAATCGCTAAAATTGAGTGAACCACCTAACATAAACTCTTACATGTTTGTGAGGGAACGATTTTGATGTCTACGGTTATCTGGAGCTTGGAATGTCTGTACGAGGTCAGCAGCCAGCACAGTCAATTAAGTGAGGTCACCCCGCAGGCGATTGCTAGGAGGCACAAGGTGGCAGGTGCGAGGTAGTGATTAAGAGGTCATTTTTGACTAAAGTCCCTCTCCCCCTTGTGCTTAAGATCCCTTCAGATTCGAGAACTCACTTAAAAGATGAAATATCCTTGGAAAACGTGCGAAATTTCTTTAACTTGTGTGGTGATAAAACACTGAAGTAACTAAGAATTACTACGCGGACACCTCTGAATCACGAAAATTTTGTGTGGGCGGAATCAATTGTTATTGGAAATCCTCTGGCCCTGGCATCGACTCATCCTTGATGTTTGTCCTCCGACGATGATCCTACTGCATCAATCGGGCCCGATCTCTTCCTCCCAGCGGGCCAATACGACCCCCCCCCCTGTGACGTGTCGAGGATTCCTCAACGCACGCTTGACCCTGCCATCTGCTATGCTCTCTTTTCTCGGACTTCTCTACCGCTCTCCGCGCTCACATTATCTCTCATCTCCCCGCCCGTCATTTGAACTTCTGCGCAGCGTAGAGAAAAGCTCGTGACCCTCTTCAAAAGCGTTCTCAGGATTTCTGTCAACCGGCAGGTATACGACGCCCGCGTTTTGTCGCACCGTCTGCCGTCTCTTCTACAAACGCCGTCTCTGCGTCTCTACTCTGAAACGCCAGAGCGCAGACGCAAGAGCACGCCTTCACAGGGGCGCCCTTGGCCTGTTGCCAGCTGTTCCAGCCGCTGCTCCAATGCGTTCTATGCGCAAGCTACTGACGAAACCTCTGCAGTATTTCCTTCAGTCGTGGCTACGTGTCATGTTGCGAGCCTTCGCAAAACTCCTCATCGGCTATCCACTCAAAGTTTTAGGCTGTTGGTACTAGACTAGGCTGTACTGCTCAGGGACGTTTCTCGATTTTCTGAGCCTATCAGTCTTCATTTGGTGCCTTCAGCGATTTGATATACCTGAACTCCACGTTACTTTTGCATGGTATGATTCTTTTAGTTACTGTTGCTGTAAAAGTGTATGAATGATTACTTATAGTGCCAGTATGATGCATGACTGAATATATGTAGTATGAAAGCAAGTATTAATTGTGCAATTCTATGATCATGTCCATATTTCGATCTGAGTGAGTAAGAGGTATCAATTTTCCGAGGGGCTAGAGACTGGGGAAGGTCATTCTACAACTTGACTGTTTCTCAGAACTCTCCCTTTGCGCTCATTTCCTAGAAGAGGGGGGGGGCATTGAAAACAGGGCCGATGGTAGCTGACACTTCCTCTCCATAAGGCTTAGTCCCAATTAGTCCCAAGCACTGTTTTTGATTACTCACTTGAAGGACCCCCAACCCCTTCCACCCCAAGCTACATGTCCGCCACCCCGTTTACGCATTTCATGAGAAACTTGAAAAATATTCAGCGATTCTTGTTTAACAATGAAGCTCCATCAGAATTGCTGCACCTTCTCTTGACATGTCTTTACCACGTGAGAGATGGCTCTGGAGGAGACGCAGGCGACAAGCGTACACGCCCCCTCCCAGTGGGCGCGAACTCGATCCCATCTATTCCCCGCAAGGTACTTCAGTTTGAATTTTCTTCCCGCGCGCGATTTGAATGGATTATGTGCGCGCAATGACGTTGCGACGGCCGGGTGCAGACCAAACACCACAACTGACGACGGCCTCCAAGTAAATCTGGTTAGAAGTTGTTCATAGTGATAGCTGATTTCTGGTAAATGATAGTTGTAATTAGTGACAATCGATAGAGTACAACTGCAACAGACGCTGCACTTCATTGGCAGAAAACAGAGGAGGGTATTTCTTGTGCATTTCACGAGTTTCTTCCCCCTTTTCTCCACTGACGTCCCATCTCCCATCCCTTATTTCACATTTTAGTGAGATCACTCCATCAATTTAATTCTGATTCTTGCCTTTAAGCGTAATCATTAATTATTGTCATTGACTTATTTCTATTCCTAGTTGACTCCTTTGTGGGCCTTCTCTTCTGAACCACGTCGTTAAGGCTCTTAAGCATACTCGAACATATTTTCATGTTTCACAATGAAACGTTCTGAAGAAATCAGAGTTTGAGCAGAAATGGGACAGGAATAATGATATAACTATAGTGATAGTCGGTTATTTTCAGGGCTTGGTGGCCAGTGGTTCTCTAAAAATAATTGCCATCCGGTCTATATGAATCTATCGGTGCATAACGGATTGCTCCCTCAAAACTAATTGGCACTAACTGTTGGAGCCGTATGGAGTTCTTACCACAGAAGTTTTCTCTCTTAGATAATAAGTCAATCGGCTGGTAAATACTCGATTACTATTAGGTTGTCTCATAATTCCTGTCTCATTTCTATTCAATTTCAAATTTCTTCCGTCTAAGACCGTTTCATTGCGAAATACGTTAGTATGTTGAAGTATGCTTCAAGAGCCTTAACAGCATGGTTTCGGAAACGCAAGCCCGTAACGGGTTAATCAACTAGGGATAAAAATATAGATAAATAAATAAAAAGCGTGCGATGTGCATGCGATCACTCCTGCCACAGGATTATAAAATAAGACCAATAATCAGCTGTGTGGATGGACCGACCGATCGCATCTCATGGTTTCTCAACAAGATTATCGGTCAACTTCTCGCTCATATACACATTTGTCGAACACGGGACAATTTCCTGGACCACTTACGTTCTTGCAGGCTTCAACAAAATTGTGTTGTAGAATCATTTGACGTGTCTGCGCTTTACACAACGTTAGCAACAATGAAGCCTTGCAAGCAGTTTCAGAAATGCTTGACGAGCACACAAGAAGTTTGGTAACGTTCGGGTTGAGCAAACCACAAATAATGGTTCTCATCAAGGAGTGTTTGAATTGCAACATATTTATGGCAATAAATAGCCAATGACGTGAGACACAAGTCACACTTTTCGGAGTGCAATTACACAATTTTGGCTGCCTAATCCTCTGTGTCTGAAATTTCAGACATGTTTTATGAATAGACGGGGAGGGGGGGGGGTTCGCACACAAATGTGCAGTGCTGGTCGAAATGGGATGGCACTGTAGCAAAAAAGAAAAAGAATCCAGCGAAAACACTCAAGCCAAGGGCTTGCTCATCTTCTTAAGGCCGGTGCTAGGCTTTGCGAATCCAGCGATTCGCAAAGTTTGACACCGGCCTGATGCGGCTATGGAAGGCAGTGAGAGATTGAGGGCCGAGAGGAGAGGGCATCAATAGCCTGGGTTACCTGTCGCGCGGCAAGAACGCAGAGTCGCGGACGAGTTGCAGCGCGTGATGTGCGATGTAGGACGTGCAATGGGACACTCTATTTAACTTGACGCGAAATCCCTATAGTACGCGCGCGACTCGTCCGCTGACTTTGCCTTTTTGCCGCGCGACGGGCCTCCTGGGGTACCCATTAGCCTGCTGCAGACGGAGAGACTAACCCTTCGACAACGATGCGGATTTGCACGTAGTTGCTCATGGGAGAGCACCTCTTTTTGGCGCGCCCTCCACCATTGGGCAAAATTGTCCCTTAAGCAGTTTTTCTATGAATTTTTGACTTTAGCAGTATACCAGATATAAGTGCAGTTCTAGGCTTTCATACTGTATTTTTTTAAGAGAATTCCAAATTTGGAAGGGAACTCGGGTTTCAAAGGGAAGGAGAGCAAACCTCCAAAGTTTAAGTGTCCAAAAAATTTTCGATACGCTTCAATCCCGTATCTGAGGGCCATGAGAAGACGAAGTCCTGATTAGTAATTTCTTCAGCCTAATAATGCAAAACCCCAATTAATATGCTGGCGAGCTAAATGGCACATTCTAAAATTCTATATAAAATTAGCTCTTATAAACATTTCTGTAAGTCGTGCTAGTCATAGATATTATGGAACTTGCTTATAATTATTGGGGTGTTACAAATGTTTTAAATGCACAAAGAAGGAAATTTTAAGGTGGCACCCACCATTGGGTGCCATTGTCCCACGCGGCGAACATAGTGGCACCCACCGGTGGGTGCCATTGTCGTCAAAGGGTTAACTAGCTGAAGCGTATTTACAAGCACTAGCGCTTCGTCGTACGAATTCCATGCACGAGAGTGCCAGGTTTGCGACAGTCCTCTAGCGGTCCATTCTGCTTACCGAAGGGGTTCATTCACCCAATTGCTGCCTAGGCTATGTGATTTATGTAACCTACTACTAACTATGATCATACAAATTGGGGTTTCCACTTTAAAGGCACGCTCCGCGATCAGGCGTTCTCGCCTGTTCCATCTAGGGAGTAGTAGGGAGGTGGGCCCCTTTTGCGGCTTGAAAGTACGCGACAAAGGCGCAAGGAGCTCGTCCAACCCGCAACTCACACCTTCGTCCGCAAGCCCCACCCTCCGCTGTCGGTTGCCACGTGGCGCTGCTTGAAAAGCGCGGGCGCATTTGAGGCAGCGGTCCCATTGCGATCCAATGTTATTGGCACTGGAGCAACTAGAGTTAGGTTCGTGAAACTCGTCCAACGCGCCTCTTCTCTATCCCAAGGTGGAATGCGGCTGAAATAGGGGAGGTCTCTGTACGGGGCGTAATCGGTGGTTTCGTTTGCTTTCCTTCTCTTTTACAGACCACCTCCCACCTATAGCTTCATAACTGAACGCTTTTCCACACCTATTTTATCCCGAATCTTGCCTTTAAAAATCGCTTCGAGCAACTACAGGTCCAAATTGCGAGAGGCAGTACAGGTTATTTTTCTCACGATTGCACCGGCTTTTTGTATCCTTTCATTCTACCGATCGTTCAGAAATCCGTGAATGTTTCAACGTGTACAGTCAAGATGGAATCGTTCACTCAGCACCTCAGCTAAGATGCATTTTGCGTAGTCTTGGCTATTCACCAACCGCTGCTAAGACTGTGGAATACTTCAGAAAGAATAGTGAGTTTAATACGTCCGCATTTGTAAAATGGTTCTCATTTTGCATGTTTTTTTGCCATTACTTATGAATTCTTTCTTGCATCTATCTTGACTACAACTGCTTACTTTTTCACGTGAGATTTCTTCAGAGCAACCAATGAACTTCGCAGCATTCCTGGAAATCGCTAAAGAGGAACATAACAGCGGCGATGAACTAACAGAGATCATTAAGGCGTTGAAGGGATTGGACAGGTCAGTGATCCATTGCTCTCAAAGTGATGGTTCTGAAAGCAAAAGATTACGATATAAGTGTGTGTGCATCGTGGAAGTACATGCACCAGTGGAAGCAGTAGTCAGGGGCCGAAGGAAGCGAAATGTGGCGTTTTCGTGGTCAAAGGTGCGCTAGCTACAGCGAATTGGGCTTGTCATTCCTTTTTGAGCCCCGCCACCAGGGTGAATATCGGTCGAGGAAATCCTCGACAGAGGGGTTGTACTTGTCGGGCTTTGTCATGGGGGGTCAGTAACGTCAGTGGCATCGTGGTGCAGATAGGAGTAAGAGGGTGTAGCGCAGCAGAAAACGAAGATATGTGAGAAAACATGATTAAATATTCTTTGCAGGTTCAGTCGCTCCATTCCTCTACCTTCATGAGAAGGCGTATTTGAAAGCAGTACAAAGAATGAAAGTGCATCTCCGCAAGGAACGGGGCCACATGTGCACACGCGCTGCAAAGGCACCTCCTCTATATGCCGCCCGCTCCCTCGCCCTTAATACCTCGTTGAGAATACACTGTTGTTAGGGACGCTGTAGCAAAAACGACAATAGTTCTAGAAGGTCTTGGACAAATGAAGCTCTCCATAGGAGTTACGAGATGTGATCACTCTCTGTCAACAGGTCATCATCATATGTATAACACCTTTCAATAGATTCTACTTGTTGGAGGTCGGATGCATGGCCTATACCCAGACAAAATCGGATGATGACGATTGCCCCTTTTCTTATTGCTTATGTTGGAAGAATGTATTCTAGACACATTTCGAGCGTTGCCAACGAATTACACTTGCAATGGTGAAGAAGGGAGCGGCTTTTTGAGCGGCCGAGAATCATCCTCGATAGATCCTCGACGCAAATATCTCCTCAACTAGAAATGTAGAAGGAAGCTAAACATACTGTTAGAAAGCGCTTTCCAAAACTGTCTTCGTTTTTCAAGATCTTGCGAAATTAGAGAGATATTGCCTTTTAAGTGGCAAAAACTCGCATGAAAATTTCAGCATCCTCGACGCTCCCTCGACGGATTTTGAGAGACTATATCTCTTCGAATGGAAGGCTTTCATAGCAATTTCAATACTGCCTGATAGTAGCAAATCTAGCTCTATCTAACCCTACCGCGTGCTGTTCAAAAGGTTGGGAAATGGAGGAATGGAACCTTTTCATCGAGGGTGTAGATTTCGACGGTTTTTTTCGGGATTTCAGCAAATCTGACCCAGTGACAATCGCGCCGCAGCTGCCGTTGAATCGGCCGTTGATGATACACTCGGCTGTTTTGATATACTCAAGCAGGAATTAAGATTGAATCGCAACCCCGTGCCTTCAGGATTTCTGTGCATTTCTGAACGAACCTGCCTTTGAGGTCACACAAAGTTAATGCCTCTTTCCTCGAGTCGATATTTCAGTAAATACACAAAAGTGTGCAGCGATGAAAGAAAGTGCATAGATGACAAGATGAAGGCGTTTACAACATTATTTTGCAGGATTTTTTTGATTAATTAATTGAATTAATTTGCTCTGTTTTAGGGGGTCGTGCCAGGACCTCGATTTCAAGGGGGATGTCGTACTTCTGCGACCACGTCCTCTACACGATCACCCTGCTCGCCACTGCCTGTACTCCGCCCCCTCGCAGCAGCGTTCTTCGATTATCATTCTGATGACGTATTCCGTTTTGAATGCGTATCCTACGATTTTCCGGAACGGTTACCAATGAATATCTATGATGGTGAATATCAGTTTAGCACGGGCAAAAGACATTTTGTTCCGTTGCTAGCTCGTCCATTATCGGAGGTCAACGGGCAAAGAAAGGGGTCCCATTTTGCGCCTTCTTGACGGATTTCTTTGCTTTTTTCGCCACTGGGGCATTCAGCATGTCCACTTGCACCCACTCCAATCTTATTGGGGTCCCTTGCTCAACCTGGCGGAAAGAGAGCTTATTCATTTCGCTGATTGCCACAGAAAAATATGTTTTGCTTTACTCTCTTGTCGGCCATCATGCTGCTTGTAAGCTGAGTTTCAAATGTTCCAACTAGTCGTCTCTTGCATCCCAATGCTCTTGTCATTTTCAACCTTTGCCTTGAAATGCTACATTTTAAAGCTTGACAACAAGTGCTATTTAGGTCTGGTACTCGATCAATTCCTGCCCAGGAGCTCCGTTCCATTCTCGCCTCAATTGGGGAGCGCATGAGCCTTCAGGAAATCGATTTAGTGCTGAAGCAGGTGTGTTTATTAAAAAGCTGATCGCAACGAGAGCTCGACAAAAAAAACTTTTCTTCTCTTTATTTCTCTATGTTATAACAATACGTCTGAAAGAAAGGGCAGTTAATGTGGAATTCATGGAACAAATCGAAGGTTTTCAGGTCGCTGTCGGTGGCATTGTACCGCATCAGAAGCTCATCGAATACATCTCCAAATAAGGATAAACTCGAGATCAATCATGTATATCTGCACATATGCGTAATTATGCATCACCAAATAACTGTAGTGCTAGAGTGTATTATTGGAAAAAATTGCATTTTTCAACCGACAGCACTTTCTTGATAGCTTCAACTTCAGCTTTCTTCAGAAATTTTACACATTTTTTCCAGTAAATTCGAGATGGGTGAAGCCGGACGTATGCATTTAGGTTCTAGAGGATGTTGTGTATCTACACGTATAGCAACTGCTCGCTAATGTCTTTGTCTTCTGGTAATGAAGCGACCGCTAATGTCTTTGTCTTCTGGTAATGAAGCATCTCACTTCCACTGTGAAGGAGTGGTTTTGCTAGCATGGCGTGCTTCTAACGGAGGCAGCAATTCAGCCACATGTCCTGAGCGTCTTCGAAACACTATGGAAGAAATCAGGGAAACCTTCCGTAGGAAAAAAGAGCCCGCAATATAGAGGAGAAACTCGTCCGATTCGAGGGAAATTCGAGGAGGTTGTCCCAATACAATGCAATCATTGATGAAAGCCTTTTACAGTAATTTGAAATTTACTTGGAATTTGGTTATACTCGAGGATTTCTAGTGAAATCATTTCTTCTTTCTGAATTCTTTCTTCCATTTAGCAGTAATATAGTGAAGGTCTGCCCTAAAACAAATCAAAAATTGAAGTGTTTCGAACCAGCAGAAAAAATTTATATTTGAAAAAGTATTCCACTAGACTTTTAAGCGCTACTCTATGACGTCATGCCGCCGAGGTTACCTTAATTGCTCCAGCCTAGAGCTGCTACATGTTAATAAATTCAGTAATTGGTTTACTCTGGATAGCATCCTAAACACTAGCTCAGACTATGCGAACTCCTTCCGACCAGCGTTTCATACAACGCCGTATGGTCTATGCTCCGTCGAGGACCACAGCCGACGGCGCATAGGCGAACGTGCGCAATGTTTCTATGGCAAACACTTCTGACGTCGGTATAGAAAGCTATCATGGCGTTGCTGATGGAGTGAAAAGAGCTCTTCGACCTCCATCTGGGATCTTTCGGTTTGAATTTAGCAAGTCGTGATTGGTGCGGCTTTGAAGTAAAGTGAAGTTTCTCTTTTTTTGGCCACCCTTGTACACCATGGGATGTGCTCTTGGAGGCCGATCTCAAATCTGCACTTCCAACCTGTCAGTCAGTTGCCGGAGAGCCGCTACTACTGCCTTTGACCATATTGCTTCCTTTTTCACCACACACCACCACACACCACACACACACACACACACACCACACACACACACACACACACACACACACACACACACACACACACACACACACACACACACACACACACACACACACACACACACACACACACACACACACACACACACACACACACACACACACACACACACACACACCACACACACACACCCACACACACACACACACACACACACACACACACACACACACACACCACACACCCACACACACACACACACACACACACACACACCACACACACACACACACACACACACACACCACACACACACACACACACACACACACACACACACACAACACACACACACACACACACACACACACACACACACACACACACACACACACACACACACACACACACACACACACACACACACACACACACACACACACACACACACACACACACACACACCACACACACACACACACACACACACACACACACACACACACACACACACACACACACACACACACACACCCACACACACACACACACACACACACACACACACACACACACACACCCACACACACACACCCACACACACACACACACACCACACACACACACACACACACACACCACACACACACAAACA